TTAAATGGACTAAATTTAGTATACTATAGTTCGTCCAATCACTCACTAATTCCCCCACATGGTCTTTTTCAGGTCACTGAGTTGTAGGCTATCATCCGTCAAGATGAACTGCTTTTACATGCCTTAATATCTGAGTAAACGAACTAAGCTGCCAGGCGAATTGTTTTTGTCTAGACGTATTATCCGGTTCAGGTTTTATCCGTTGAATATATCTAGAGAATAGGATAGGATAAAACTTTATTTGACCACGCTGGCCACTTCAACCGAAGCTGCTTTACAAGTGGGGCCGCGTAGATAATTTATGTTAAAAAAATATATAAAATACAAAATCCCTAATAATATTAAGAACTACGAATGCAAAATACATATTACAAAACAAATGGTACAGTAGTCAAATAGCTAATTCGTCAGACTAGCGGAAATATTCCTATTAATAGAATTATATATTATTATTATTATTATTATTATTATTATTATTAGAATTATATATTATTATTATTATTATTATTCCTATTAATATTTGACTAGAGGAAATATTCCTATTGACAGAATTTAAAGATTCGCTAGCGCTGTTTCTTACTTGTTCAGGAATGCTATTCCTGATTTTAACCCCACTATATCGGAAACATTTTCTGCCATACTCGGTATTTGGTCGTGGTAGAAAGAGAGACGAATTTCAACCTCGTAAATTATAACTGGTTAGAATTTTGAAACATTGATGAGAACCTCGATGGTGCCAAATTATTGACAACCTTAAACATCCGGGCCATAATATGTTCTTGCCTTTCTTCCAAGCTTTTCCACCCTAATTGATCAAAGGCCAGTTGAGATTGCCCAGGATAAATTTCAACTGATACTATATGTTAACTTCCTTCTAGGTTTCGTTGAGTTACCATCGGGCTCCGAGGCGGCTCTCGAGCGTGCCGTGGCATTGATAGGACCAGTGTCTGTGATCATTGACGCCAGTCTTCCCAGTTTCCAGATGTACGTTGAAGGTGTTTATGACGAACCATCGTGTAGCTCAACCCAGCTTGACCATGCCGTGTTGGTGGTAGGGTATGGTACCATGAGTGGTAATGATTACTGGCTGGTTAAAAACAGTTGGGGTGTGAACTGGGGTATGAAGGGGTATATAATGATGTCGAGGAATAAAGATAATCAGTGTGGGATAGCGACGGCCGCGGCTTATCCTACTGGAGTAACGTTTGCAAATATTAATGCAGCGTACACCGCGCTTTGAATAGCCCGAACAATAAGTTAATGTGCTTCAAGATATCTTGATTTCTGGATTTCAATCAGTATTTTTGCAATATGACTATATATTTTTCAGTTGAATTTCTTTCACTAACAGTTTTTGCTTTTTGAGAGAAACAGTGGCTATATACGGCATGCCGAAAACAGCCATATACCTTATAGCCAGAAACCGTGGCTACAAGGTATGCTGAAAACAAGCATACTTTATAGCCAACTGCACAAACCTTGCCTACAAGGTATGCCGAAAACAGGTATATGCCTTATAACCACAAACCCTGGCTATAAGGTATGCCGAAAACATGCGTACCTTATTGATTGATTGATTTGATTGATTGATTGATTGATTTGATTGATTGATTTGATTGATTGATTTGATTGATTGATTTGATTGATTGATTTGATTGATTGATTTGATTGATTGATTTTGCAAACGTCAACGGATTGAATAACAAAACGTTTTGCAATAGTCAACGGATTGAATTACACGTTTTCATTATTCAAAATAAGCTATAAGAGAATATAAAATTATTAGAAAGTTTTATTTCTGTGTTGGTGTTGTGTACTCAGGTGAATAATATGTTTGCGATGTTACTCTGAGTGCATATCCACACCGGACGAGCTTGAAAAATATGCCCGGCCACGGTGGGATTCGAACCTACGACCTTTGGAATACTAGCCCAATGCTCTTCCAACTGAGCTACGCGGTCAGGACGGTTCGAGTAAGTGATATTTCGGAACAGTATCTAGTTCCTTCAATACCAATGTGTTCTAGTAATATGAATTTTATTTCTGTGTTGGTGTTGTGTACTCAGGTGAATAATAGGGCCATTTATACGGAACAAAATAAGACGCGACTTACATAAGACGCGACTTAAGTAAGACGCGAGTTTGTCGTATAAAAGGTACAAAATTCTTATGTAAGACGCGTCTTGGATAAGACGCGTCTTACATAAGAACAGGTCTTTTAGCTGTTTTTATTTAAGTCGCGTCTTAAATAAGAAATTTGGGACAAAAAGTCTAACTACACATGCCAGAAACTTAAAACAACGTAAAATTATCAGGCTTGCATATTAAAACAAAAACAACCAAAACAACATTATAGCTATAGCAAATAAATAAGACCAAAGCCGTAGAGAACCATTTATGCGATAACTCCGCTTATTTAAGTCGCGTCTTATGTAAGTCGCGACTTATTTTGTTCCGTATAAATGGCCCTAATATGGGCTAGTATTCCAAAGGTCGTAGGTTCGAATCCCACCGTGGCCGGGCATATTTTTCAAGCTCGCCCGGTGTGGACATGCACTCAGAGTAACATCGCAAACATATTAGAAAGTTAATTTAAAACTACGAATACACGTTCCAATTGCATATGGGATAAAACTATTTCTAAACCGTATAGTTTTAGCCTTAGTAGACGGAAGGCGATCATTACGCAAGTTAGATTGATATTCACTACTAAATGGTAAAGGTAACAAACTAGGCGATTGCTTGGCATATTTACTCGGTTAAAATATTGACGACATAGAGTTTCTATTCGGTCTTTGAGTGACATTAACGTTGTAGTCTCCTTGTCCTCCGAATATGAAGAATTCTTGCATATGATGCGGAGAGCTGGTTTTTGAACTGATTTCACCTGTTCACATAAGTGATTCAGGAATGCAAAAGTGCCAAATAAGGCAAGCATATTCCAAGACTGGTCGAATGTAATAGCAATAAACTTTTACTAAATCCACAACATCTCTATAGTTGCATTTTTCGCAAGGGTTCAATTAATATGCCGGTATAAAATTTACACAGAATTCACACTCGAAGCTTCCATCATCAAAACCCTTGAACAGTGTGGTCAGTGTGGCTGATTTGACTAAATTTAGCCGGGTACGTTCGGTTGTCAATGTTCAATATTAGCTGAAATTCTTGCAGATCGCGCGATCAATATTGATTTTGCCAAATTAAAACAAAGTGTAACTGCAAATAGACCTTATCAAGAGATAGAACCAACAACGTGTCATAAGATTACCATGATCTGACTATTAACTGATCGTATATGGTAATGAAGTATAAACCATAAACCATTTTCCACAATACCAAAACTAAGGCCTGTTTTATACGTCGAATTTCGGTCGTGTCGAATCACTGTGGTCGAATCAGTGCAAATCAAACAATAGAGAATGAAGCTTAACGAGGTTTATCATCTCAATGTCTTAATTAATTGCAATTCGACGCGACCAAAATTCGACGTATAAAAGTTAAACAGGCCTAACCTTTGCTTTTATTTAACCATAAGCGAACCACCCACATATCTAGTATTTCCTTGAGTAATTTAATCGCTCAAAGCGATTGGATTCGAATAGTAAAAAATTTCATGCATGCAAAAACCTTTCGAAATCGTTGCATGTGACTAATAAACTCCACATCACACGTGCTCAGCTCAGGTGACAAATACCAACCTAAATTCTAAATTTTATCGCTTGCGCAAGTTAACAAAACGAATAACGCAAAGTCAGGCGAAACTCGTGACTTTGCAATTAATTTGAATGAAATGCGGTTTTCATATTTTTGTTATAAATTTTACACACGTTTCACTGTTGCATTTAATTAAAGCATTTTGTTACCACATTTTAGCCGTAACGCCTATGGCTCATAGAATTAATAAAACACGTCTGTATAAAGATTAAAGTAGACAGCAACATATGATATATATTTATATGTTTTTAGGAATTAGGATTAACAAAATTTATCGCGATGCATAATATAACGTGTAAAGAAATATTAGTTCGTTTCAATAAGAAATGAAATAAAATTCTAGGCTGTCAATTAAAACTTGCGAAAAATTAAAGAAGACTAATTAAATGGGGTTTGCCGAATATATATATTACGAAATCGTGAATGAGATAATAAAACTATTATTTTTTTAAATAATACGACAATTGTTTCATATTAACAGGTCCTTATAATTATAGCAGAATTTCTTAATAGATTTCAGTTTTAGTTCTGTTTTGTATTTTTTTTAAATTTTGTGCTGTTGAAACTTATGTTGAGTTGCCGTTTGGTATTCGGTTTCTAATCGGAGTGATAAATCTTACAGGGCAAAATTGGGTGCATGTGTGTGATGATACGCTTGTAACAATCTCTAAGACTAAGGGAACGTTGTAGCAATGCAGTAATTAATCAGGCATTACAGTATTGAGCTCCTAATTATATATTATCATGTTGCTCGCTCGTCTGATTGAGTTTCAAAACAATGTAATGAAAATATTGCTACGTTTCAGCCAGTTTCGTTTTTGTGTTCATGTCACAATTTAGAGTTCGTGTTTTTATTTTCTACATGTCGCCATTTCAAGGCAAAGTCATTTGTCGGAATTTACCGGTGGAATTTACAGATTGCATTTTGTCAGAAATGAGCACATGGCAAATGATTCTTTTGATTTTGAAATTAATAAATTGGCAATGACTCGCGTGAACAAAAGTTGGGCAAGAACGACAAGGTGAACGAGCATGCGCAGTCGGACAACAATCCCCGCCATTTGGGAACATTTGCAGTTGTTAATTTAATAATTTTCCGTTTGCAATTCTGATAAAACATGATGCAAGTTCCCCTGCACACGTACTGGAACTCAAAGAGGTTTAAATTTTGGCAAATATTCTATCCGAAAGTGTTTTTATGAGCCATACGAGCCATAATACCACTCAAAGCCGGGTGTTATATACGCGTCATTTCCATAGTATCCCTAGCAACAGGAAATAACGCACGTCTTGTCATGTGTCACAAGTGGGTCTTGTGACTATGGCTTGGCAACACATGCATCATTTGACAGTCACATGAGCTCTCCATGTGGTCAAAATTTGAATATAAATCAAGCGTGCTTTCACAACTTCCCCACAGAGGCCGAGAGGACAGCCAAGTTTGTGTTTGTACTTTAAGACCGAGCCAGTGAACACCTTCTTTTGTGGAAAATTTGGAAAAAAAAAGAGACAAAACTTTGAAATAAAAATGAAGTCATTCGTAGCATTTCTACTTGTTCTGGTGACTGTGGCGAATGCGGCCTCCTTTGCCGCGCTCAGCGAAGACGTTCAATGGCTCGCTTGGAAAACCTATCATAAAAAAACCTACAGCGACGAGTATGAAGAACGATTTAGACGAGGCATTTGGGTGTATAATTTAAAGGTATGTTCGCTTAAAACTCAACGAATCTTTGCTGTATAAAGGTTTAAATTAATACGCATGTTAATATTGGGTCAGAACATCAGAAGATTCCTGAAATTTCTAATGTGGTATGACATTTTTAACGAATAAATTTAGGATAAGCAAAGTATTAAAAAGTATTTGTTAGAATGGTATATTATATATTCGTGAATTGCGAGTGCTTTAGATCATTAAAAAATTGCCTGTATAAAATTAAAATATACACAAATTGAGTATGTTTGTATTTAATAAAAATGGTAAAGTACTTCTTATGCATGAGTCAATTCCAGGAGTAACCATCCCCCCCCCGGGAACACACCCGGGAATTTGATTAGATTGGTTATGATAGTGTAAATGCCCGGGTGCCGGGACACAACTTGAAGACTAATGCACGGCCCCAGGGCAAGCTGAGAGTGGAAAATGCCCCACCCCGGTGACGATTTTACAGTCGATTTCACGAAACTTTGACCACAAATGTTCCGAATTTCGTTGCGAAGTTCGCAAGTTCGTTGTGAAGTTCGGAAGCTCATATTGGAATTCACAAGCCAATTTGTAAACAAAGTCCCTGATTGATCCGTGAAGTAAAATAAGCCAATCAAATGCGTAGTTTACGAACTGGTTTGTGAATCTCATTATGAACTTTCGAACTTCGCAACAATCTTGTGAACTTCGCAACGAAGTTCGGAAATTTTGTGGTCAAAGTTTCGTGAAATCGACTGTAAACGTTAATTAAACTTTTAAAGGCATATAATCATAGTCATTTAATAACATTATAGTATTAAACTGCTATGGAATATTATAAAACATAAACCTTTAGTATCTGTATTTAAATTTGCATGGCAGAGGGTATAATTTTCGCTTATTCTTACAATAAATTTCACGCCACCTTGACCACGAGGGCGCAAACCACGATCGCGCTTGCCTGAAACTAGGTTTTGCTGCCTTAAAATTTGTGGGTGGGATTCTGGGCAACCATTTGTCAAATCCCCGGGGTCCTCCAATACCCGGCCCCCGTGCACATATATGAAAGGCAAATTCCCGACCCCCGTGAACTGTCTATCGGGCAAATACCCGGGGGTGTCCCGGGGGGGGGGATGGTTACTCCAGGAATTGACTCATGCATTAACGTCGGCTCCCTTCTTTTAGCTGATTCTTTCGCCCTTTCTTTCTTGAAATTTACAAAATCTTGCAGAAATACGAGCAAAAATGAAGAATATTTGCAAGAAATTTATCAATCATCAACTCATCAAATCAAGAAATGTTTGCTATTTCGCTGTCGTCATGCAGTCGTTATAATGCAAACGTGTCCGTTATTCATGACAGTCCGCCATATTTTTGAGATCAGTGAGGATGACCCAGTGAACTCTAATAATAACTCTTGTTATTATTAGAGTTCACTGGGATGACCACCCATCGTTGGTGACCGACGCCCGCGCTCATTGATGAACTTTAGACTTCGCTAATGCTTTCGTTTCCCCGGGTGTAAATAGCCGGGGGGAATTAGTACCCTCGCACGGCGCTTCGCGCCGCCGGCTCGGGGATTATGTCTTGCTGAATGTTAAGGACGAATTTTATCACCTAATAATGACGTCAATTCACGTTTCCCGCATATTTTCAAATATCAAGGTGGATGTAAATCGGCCTGACAACACTTGAATGTTTGAATAAATTTCTTATTTTATTTGGCAGGAACTATCGGATTCTTCGCTTGCTTTTTCTTCCTCCGCAAGATCTATGGTGCTGTCGAGGCAGTGGCGGATCAACCATGGGAGTGCATTAAGGAGGTGCGCACCCCACCTAGTGTCTAGAACCAGTCGCCTGTCCAGCAGTACCACCATAAAAAACATCTGCTTGACATACATTTTCTGCTTTTCGAATAGCGATTAGCGGATCTCCTACTGTTATAGCGCGTATCCATTTCTTACTGTAATTTGTTCTGTTTTTCTGTAGCGATTATCGGCAAATGCTGCGATAAAACTTAGTTTTCTTTATTTTTGAATATGATAATTTTTATCAAAGGGAAATAACACATTTTTCGTTAGTTTCATTGCATAAAAGGTACGAAATTTAAATTTTATCCCCTCAGTATTTGCCAATAAGTCTGGAATCGCTACAGAAAAACAGAACAAATTACAGTAAATCACAACAAACTATATATACAGAAGAGCAAGTGGGACACTTTTTGTATTTTCACTGTAAATATCATGATTAAATATGTAAACATGTCGAGGTTGTTACACAGCCATATTTTCAAATATACTGTTCTTTAACAAGCAAATTTACTGTACTGCGCCTAGTACAGCAACTGTCCAGTCACACATTACGTATACGTGATAAAAAGCCGATATAAACTTTATGAACAAAAGATAATGTAAAATGTAACAGAACGGTGAACATGCGGATTCGACCATCTTAAATAATGGTAACGTTGGAATAGTAGCGTTGCAGAGGAAAGTGGACAGTAATGCCAAGGCCGAAACTTCGGTATTACGGCTGGGGTGGGGGGGGGGGGCTTTGACAGTCTTTTGCTTTGACATTCGCAAAAAAATCTTCGAAAACTCTTCAACATTTATATAGTTCTATCGGTGAGATGCATGTCTATCATTGATAGCTTAGACTTTGTTGTATTCATATACGCACCTATATTCACCTTCCAGGTGTGTGGTTAAGTTAGTAAAAATTGGTGTCTCTATTCGAGTAAATCCTCCATATAATTAAGCTCCCCAGAGACATTATTGATTCAGAACACTGCACAGGAATCGCAGGACCACCTAGTTAAATTCCTGCTGAAGCGCAAATTTAGAGAAAGAAATTGAGGAAAGAAGGGCTAAAAATATGCGTATAATTTTCCCGCTAAATTAATTTTCATGTGCCAACAAAATCCTTCAACATTCTCCATGGAGTCATGGAACTTGTCGTATCTTGTGAACAGAAATAGTAAAATTATCCAATCACTCAACGACTTGCCCCGTGGCCATGGAAACGACCCTCCGGAGGTGCGTCCCTGCGAGGTTACATTGACAATCTTTGACAATATATACATTGGAACAATCTAGTTTTTACATGCATTCAGACGTATTACACCATTTCTTTATACATCTGGGGAACGAGTGCTACGCTTTTCAAATTGTGTGAAATGTTTGATGTTTCATAGTTTTTGCCAAAGATTGTAGAAGATCAGAGTTCTCTGGTAGAAGATATTAGAGAACCACCCTAATTTTATCGGGTGTCCTTACTGTGCGGGTCATTGGCTACGTGGCTACTTTACCCAGCATGCTCCATTTAGATTGTTGTTCTTGTTTTCTGTAAAATTTTATATAAGGTTTATTTCAGCAAAGCTTAACAATTATGAGGGTATTGAAACTTTCTTATGCATGGATGTTTTACCTGTTGTTTCTCCATACAACAGAGGGTTTTTACTTGCCTGGTTTAGCTCCAATTTCGTATTGTGAAAAGCAAGATAGTGTCGAGGGAAAATGTAAGGTGAGTAGCTTCAATATCTGATCTCGAAACAGCAGGTGAATAAAGTTGAAAGAAGCTGTATTTATAAACTTTCGTTTATTTACACTGTATGTGACAGTTTTAGCTATGAAATTGTAGGCTTTTACCAAAAATTAGACCATCGATGACTTAACGTCCTTAAATGTTGTGAAAAATTCTATATTGCTTTAATAGTTTTGTTCACTGAAGTGTCGCACACGTTATTAATTAAGTGAGAAGTATAAATGAGAAAGACGTTTATTTAAATTTTACTAGTAGTGATTGCAATTGATGCCCTGACATTTGACAATGTTGAATTGCAGTATTATTATACCCTTACCAAAGCCACTCCACATATCAGGAAATGTCAGTTAACTCATGCATATTATTAACCTATTAATTAAAGGGCCTAAGCCACAGGAGTAGCCTGCTCGCAGCCCGAAATTTCGTTTAAAGGATCTGCTGAGCAGGCTACAGCAGGAGATCTCCCACAACTTTCTGAGTGTTGCCTCAAAGCTACCGCATAGCCACACCTTCATAACATTTGCAGCCACACTTTGTGTTTCTGCCATTAACATTTCAGCAGTTTGGAATATTTACAACATGTGCCCTACTTTGTTATTTTACTGAAACCAGCAATAAGATATCAGTCAAGTAGTCTAGTCATGGACACAAAGTCGCATAGTCATTAGTCAACACACAAAAAATCAAAAGAAATATGTCTTACATAAAAGAAATTGTGGCAGTAGTTTTACCTAGCCAGAATTCTTTTGCAGGATCATCGCTAACCGGAGAAAAGACGGATGGGAAATTGACCGCTTTTACTTATTACTGGCTAGATCGCAAGCTTTACATTTCTACTGCAATAAACCTACCGCAATAAACCTACCGCATTGCTGGTTTTGTCAAGTTGTCTACCACATCAGAGCATTAACAAAGCAGCCTCCCCCAAAAGGTTTTCCATTACATACGCTTTGCCCGTACAGGTTATACGGACACTATGAGCATGTGCCAGAAGCAGTGTTGTAACGAGTCACCTACAGGTCGAGTCGAGTCACTCAAAGGTCGAATCGAGTCATTTCAGTTTTAGATCGAGTCGAGTCAGTGACTTCACTCAAGTCGAGTCAGCGGCTTCACTCAAGTCGAGTCACTGGTTTAAGTCGAGTCAATTGCTTGACATGAGCTACCCTAGCTTGCAGTCGGAAATTAGTAATCAAATTTGTGTTTTAAACTAATTACTTTAGTCATTTAATAACAGCAGCTATAGGTTGTACCCTCTATCACAGTTCTAGTCAATAAGTACAACCACATGACATGTCTCATCATGCCTGCTGAAAGAGTACGTACATACAACTAGCATAATTTGCAACTGGAGTCAGAATTAACAAAGAATAGACTTTAATTAAATTAACCACGCTTTGTAAGTTAATTTGAAATTATACAACTGTATCCCTTCATAAATACCAAAAATGAAAATAACCTGTCAGAATTAGTATAAGTACAAAAAAATTTGAGACCTATGTAATATAGGTATGCCCGTAAGGAATATATTCTATGCAAATCCCATATATTTTCTGATAAAGTTTAGAAGTTCTCATTGTTTACAGGGCTCATTGCTCTTCCCAAGCAATACAATCGCAATAATTCTGATGAATTTACTCTGTACAAGTTGTAGCTGAGTTGACTCGAGTCATTTACGGCAAAATCATCAAGTCGACTCGAGTCATTTGGGGCTGTTGACTAATTGAGTCGAGTCATTTTTCGTATTGGACTCGAGTCGCTGAAAATAGTGACTCGAATCCGAGTCAATGACTCGACTCATTACAACACTAGCCAGAAGGTTATGGCATGACCACGAGCGGCTCTGCTTGTGACAAGCATGTGCATGCAAATTTTCAACTTTCAAAGTACCCCATGGGGCAAAGCAGATGTAATGGGAACTGGCCTTAGTTTATTTATTATCAGTTTTGCAGTAAGGGCACTGAGAGCTGCAAAATTGTCCTGTAACCTTAAGTTCAGGATTTTCAAAAATATAGCCCATTTGTTTAAATGTTTTGAGCAAAAGGACATAAGTTAAAAGCACTATATTATACAGTATATTAAGAGCGCTAGTATTTTTGTGAATGAATTTTATGATTGAAGCCTGACTGTTCATTGTTTGAATTAATTCATTCAAACAGCTTCTAAATTGTGGAGACTGTATTTATTTGGCTTGATATCTGAAATATTATATGGGTGGGGCTTTAATTAAAATGCACCGACCATGCTTTAATGCTTTAATGAAATACTCCTAAAACAGTATTATACTACACTAGGAGGAGTTATATATACTGAAAAACTAGATAATATTTATTTACAAGAAATTAGTCTTCATAATCACTGTATGACACATATATTAGGCAGTGATTATAGAATGTGTTGTTATATGTTATTAACAACAACAATGGCAAAAGCGACAAACGACAATAACAACAACGACAACAACTCTAAGACTACAAAACGAACATATAGTACAATACAAACGATTCGAAACGATACTAATTAGGTACATTAAGCTAATTAGCTACCATTGGGTAGGAGGGGGTGCCAATAGGCATAAGATGCACGCAATCTCATGTTACTCATATTCTTACTCATTTTTAATTCACAAAGTTGGAAGTTATGCAGTTGATTAATGCACTGAGTGTTATCATTAGCCTGCATAACTTAACTAGCCCTCATGTGGCCCTGGAGTGAGCCTGAAAGAAAACCCAGCATTCCTGACTAAAAACTACAGATTGAAGTAGGTTGCTGTTAACATCATTGCTGTAAAAGTTATGTAATTTTTGTACTGTAACTAGTTGACAGTTACTGTAGATCATCAGAAAAGTAACTAAAGTAGTTACCGATACAAGCTACAATCAATGGAATAAAAGTAACTAGTTACCATGACCAGATTTTGAGGGGAGGCACCTCCCCTAAGATCATTTTACACCTCCCAGGTGAGTTTTTGTGCCTCTCTTGATTAACGCCATGCACCTTCCCGTCTGAAAGGTTAAATGATATATCAAAGTGAACACAATGAAGGGCAAAGTCAGATGGGTCATACAGTCATAATCTATAAATACACTGAAACAGTACATACAGTATGTCACATAGTTGATGTTAAGGAGGGGGTTGGTTCTAAGCCCTAATTGCCCATGCGAGTCATGAATTAGACTGTTGCACCTCCCCTAAATTTTTTCCACCTCCTCCACAATTTCTACCAAAATCTGGCCTTGTTAGTTACAAAGTTAAATAATACAAAATAGCTGAGCAAATTATAAATACAAAATAGCTGAGCAAATTATGTCAAACCTATATTAATATACTGTAATGCCAAGCAATAGCATGAGGAGATTTATGGATTGTGTTATGTCAATTGTTAACATGAAGAGAATTAGACAAAATAATTGTTTAATTTAACCTGAAAAATAATTTCACACATTGAGCAGCATTTTGGGCAACCTTGTACCCAGGCTATTTTCTCATTTGCTCTGATGCGACAGTATGCATTTGGGGCTGAAAACGTTTAACCCTACGCAACAGAATAGCCTTTCACATGTTGGGTTTGTAGGCACCCAGTGTTCAGTTCATTTCAATGAAAATCTGGCACAGTGAGCTTCTGCCATCTACATGTAGCACTGCAATAGCATAATGAAAAGTATTCTATCCTATGCAGGATACAAAATTCAGTGACAACTGTGTGTGACTGAGGATTGGGATAAAACAGCTTTTTAGTAAGTTGGATATCGCTACGATAACGGCTCTCTCAAGGCCAGAATGTGACTTGTTACCATTACTTTTCAGTTACAAGTTACCTTCCCAAAAAAGTAACTACAGTACATGTACAGCAGGTACCGTTACCGTTACTAAAAAATGTAACAATTACATGTAACTAGTTACTTGCAACAAAGTTACTCACAGCACTGGTTACTGTAACATATTAATCTCTTTTAATTGCTTGTTTATTTAGAGCCATATACCTCTGTTTGTCAATCGGTTAGATTCTGTGGAGACCATCATTCCATATGAATACAGCAGGTTTGTTTAAAAATGAAACTAAACAAAAAAATCACAAGTAAACAAAATTTCACAGTTACTACTGTCCCCCATTTCTTTGAAGTTTGCCTAGTATGCAGATCTACACAATACTGTATGACATATTGTGCTAGGCCTTTAATTGGGCATTATTTATATTACAGTAGAAACCATGGATCTTGATACTTGTCAGCCCAAAACAGTATGTTTGATGTTTCAACTGAATACTGGTACACTTTGTTAGGACAGTACAGTTCATAATGGTTTCATCTGTTTCTGTTTGTTAAATCTGTGTACAGTACAAGTAGAATTTTAAAACTCTCTTGGTTGTGCATTCCCTTGTGAATCTCCAGTATCCCTGCTCTTAATTTAGCAAAATTTCTGTGATGTATGAAATTTTCATGATGGCAGTTGTTGTGTTTTACAAACCAGTGATCCCTCTGGTATTTCTGCATGCCCATGTTGGATGATGCTTGCTGGCTTATTGTAACTTACAGTTTTATTTGGATCAGTTTCATCCCAAAACATACAGCAGTTTTTGTGCAAATGTATGAAAAATCACTGTAGAATATTAAAATTTGTTTAGATTTGATTTTTGTGCTCCTACTAATCAGGATTATGCTCCGTCCGAAAATCTTGGTCAGGTACATTATAAATTGTGTTGTATTGTATGATTGTATGGTAGTTACATAATGAATGAGATTATTTGAACAAGATTGAGATAATATTGTATATTCAGCTCATGCAGTAATACTAATGTAGTTTTTTAAACCTCCAATATTAGAGCCCGGCCTTCCTTACCAAATACAGTTCAAATTCAGGCCGATGTTCAGTCACTGTGATGACTTTTTCAGTACAGCATGAATGTTCAGTTAGGGATGAAAAAGTAGATACAGTATATGCAATGATTGTACACTGAAAATTGCTTGACATACAGGTATCATACTGTATGCCGAGTATCTAAGGAAAGATATGATAACATACACTTACTACAGCTCGAACAGTCTGCCAGTGTTGGTAGTGCCAGAAATAAGAAAGTTTTGGATTGATAGGAATACAACTACAATACCTGAAAAATACAAGGAACACTTTGATGTTTCAAGTGAAGGCCCTTGAACGGGAAGTTATACTGCAACCAATTTAGTCATTTAGTCTAGTAACTTCCCGATGAAGTGCCTTTGCTTCAAACATCAAAGTCCTCATAATGTATTTTTCAGGTACTAGTTGTATCCCTATCAATATGAAGCTTACTTTCTACAGCTTCTCTGTGTTTACCTGAAAATCCTTCAGACCATCTGTAGAGAGGAAACCACTGGACATTCTGTCCGACCTAAGTGAAACTGAGATTTATTGTTTGTCCAACCCGAGTGATTTGGTGTCCGACCGAACTGTAGCTTTGTCTGACGCTTTCTCCACACAGGTAAATCAAAATGTACTGTACCCTAGTCCAGCACTAGAGGCTCGTATGTTATAATGGAGAATTAGAGTATTGTACAAAAATGAATCGGAAATGTTTTTAATAATGTCACCGAGCCTGGGGTGGCGAGCGAAATGGTGAAGTGGAAAACGGGCTTAACTTGTCGAAGTCGTACTGCTATTACTGGCAAGCAAGTTAATCTTGACAACATTTAGTTCAGAATTAATACATTGTGCTGATATTAATTTGCGTAATTCAGACTTATTTCCGAGCCAAACTGAACTGAATGTCATCGGACATCATCATCATACATATGTCCAACCCAAACTCAAAGTCGTCGGACATTTCATCAGACGGCCCTGTAGGATAAAAATACAAATCATTATATACAAGACTTATTGTATAACAGGGAAGGAGGTAACGTAATTGGATAAACCTAGTTTAGAAAATCGTATATCAACGTCAATAATTAAACATATGCCAACTTAGTTGCAGAGCATTCTTATTTCTTAACCAATGTAAACAAATCCTAAATTATTTTGAATTAGCTGTGCCTAAAAAATTATTAATTATTGCATCAAACATGTCCTCAGTAGTACCTGTAGCTATTTTTTGTTCTATCTGAAATTCTTGTCTCTTTTCATATTATCTTAAAATTCTTGTCTCTTTTTTCATAGGTTGTCTTTGGTGAACGAATTCAACCATCAGCCTATAATGTAAGTGTGAAAACATAAGTTTGCTCTTTTAATCCACCAAGTTCTCTTTAGTTCACATTCCCATGTGATAAGCAACAAAACATAAATAAGTCATCGATGAAGTAAAAGACGACCAATCATGTGCATAACATTCGTCAATGTAACAAGACTGTGTTTCAGCAGAAATTGCGTCAAGTGTAAAAGGCCTACAATTCCTGTAAAATTTCCCTTCGACTCTTAAGGGTTCAATTTCTCCATTTTTTTGTGCAGTACAATGTTGCTTCCAGTTAAGAGGACGAAATATTGTTATAATTATATTTCTTTTCAGATAACATTCAAAGATGATAAATGTGACAGAGCATGTGATAAGCGATATACTAAAGAGGATGTCAAGGGTGAAAAACTGAACTTCATTAAAAATGGAATAAGATTAAACTACCAGCACCACTGGTGAGTGTTTTCCTACGTCTTATCATGGTGTGATGTTACATACACTGTAAGCAAGATGAACCAGCAAAATAGTGCATGGCCATTAGACCATAATGCAATGACGAAGCTAGCCATGGCAACTGGTTTTGCTATGGCTAGTTTGCCACTGCCACAATGGGCATTCCTAGGACTGTTTTTAGACATAAGTTTCCGTAATTTCTTCAATTTTTACTACAAAAGAAACATCACGACTGAAATGATTTTTTAACGAAAAACACATTAAATAATTGAGAATTATTCAAAAGCTTTGTCGCATCACTCGATGGAAATGTGGCTTTGAATGGTAGCAAAGGATGTTCGGCTGTCTCAGTCGTACTCTGGTTGACATCTCCTGCTCAGGGTTTTTTTCAGGGATTTTTTAAGACCGTAAAACGGCCCCGAAAACTCAATCTTGAATTGAGTTTTGAAACTCAATCTTCTCACCAAACGATTCAGTGCAGTAAAAATGAAGTTGTTTGAGTTAAATTCA